GCACCCCGCCTCCGAGGCCCCCTCCTCCGGCTGGGGCGGCTGTGCTCGGCGGAGGACCCCAAAGGGGGTGGGGGGGCGCCTCGACCCCGGCCCCGCGCACTCGCCGAGGAAAGGCGGAGTCGGGGAGGAAGGGAGGCCCGGAGGCTGAACCTGGGGCCTGCCGCGGGACTGCCTGCCCTCCGACACCAGCCAGGGCTCCGGCCGCCTGGGAAGGGAAGGCAGTTGGGGGCGTGGAAGAGGTGCGGAGCCAGGGGCGCCAGGACCGAGCCGGGCGCCCACCCTGCCCGCGAAGGCTGCCTTCGGAGGTGGGCGAACCGGGGACCTCAGAGGGAGCAGGGCCGGAGCCCTCTGAGCAAGAGGCGACCGGCAGGCCTCTTGGCCCCCTTGGGCCTTGGGAGTTTTCCTCTAACTGAAAGGACCAGATCTCGGAGGTGGTAACGGTGACTGTACCCCGCAGGCCGAGGGTCGGGCGGAAGGGCGTCCCACCGCGGTGAAGCTGCCCCCCAACCCCATACACACCTTCTCCTAAGAAGCTGCAAGGCAAGAGAAAAAGAGGCCTTAGGGAATTTTTTTTTATAATGGTGCAGTATACCAGACTGGGATAGGGAGCGTGAGGTATGAAGAATGTCCCGTGCGTTGTACAAACCGCCTGGTGGTTCTTTACTTTTCCACCAGTGAGCCGCTCTCCACCTTCCTCCTCAGCTCTCGGGTTCATCCCTTCTGCATTCCTGCTGTCTTCACTCATGTCTACCCCTTATCACCTTACCCTGGGCTCCCGCGACAGCCTGTCCTGCCTGGGAGCCCCCTCCCTAATGCCAGAGAAATGGCCTAAAGTGCTGCAGTCATCGTGTCCCCCAAACCTGTGCCTCTGCCACACTCCAGCGTTAGGCAGAGTCCTTCTCTGTCCAAACTTCTGTCAATCTGCTGATGATGACATAAACCCCTCTCTGCCCCCTCCTGCCTTCCCTGAGAACACACTGATTATTGCATAATACAAACAGGAAGGCCATGTCTATGCAAATCCTATTCTATCCTCCACACTTTGCAGGGCCCCCCCGCCCCCATCCTGAAACTGTATTCTGCTTATATATAAAGTCTCTAGACATTGTGCATGTAAATTAAAGAGTCAGAGTGAGCAAAGTATCGGTTTATCCCCCATGGATAGGCTGTGTGACCTTGGTCAAATGACTTAACCTCTCAGAGCTTTTGTGTCTTCTTCTTAAAATATGGATTCCCCGATCTGTTTTACAGGTAAACAGACTGCATAGTGGTGATGAAAATTGTTCACCAAGCATTTCCTGGTTCTCTCCCCCCACCCCCCACTCCCAAGGGATGTGGTAGGAATCTACTACCTTATATGACTCACTTGGGCCAATGGAATGAAAGCAGAAGTGATACGCATTGCTTTCAGGTAGAAACTTTTAAGGGCCAATGGGCAAATCCGCATGTCTTGAGAATCCCAAAAGTTCAACCCTGGCAATCTTACGTTGACAACCGTGGAAATGCAGAGACAGAGCCTCACCAAGCCAGTGTGGGTCTCTGTAAAGATGGCAGAGTAGGCCCAGCTAATCTGCATTAGAAAAGTAGCGTGAGGGGCGCCTGGGTGGCGACTTCGGCTCAGGTCATGATCTCCCCCCACCACCGTTCGCAAGTTCGAGCCCCCTGTCAGGCTCTGTACTGACAGCTCAGAGCCTGGAGCCCGCTTCAAATTCTGTGTCTCCCTCTCCCTCTCTCTGCTCCTCCACTGCCCGTGCTCACTCGCTCGCTCTCTCTCTCCCACACACACACACACACACACACACACACACTAAATAAATACATACATACATAAATACATTTAAAAAAAAAGAAAAGTAGTGTGAGCAAATATTAAACGTGTGCTGTGTTATACCAGTGACATCAGAGATTTATTATAACAGTGTAATGTAGCATTCTGGCTAATAGTGTTGCTTCCAAATGCTTGCGACTTAATCAGTCTTTGTTGAATGAATAGCACTTAACGTATTCTGATACTGTTTTATGATAGTAAACCGTCCTCTGTAAGGTGGTTGTCATACCCCCTATTTTCAATTAAGGCCACCACATCAGAAAACTGACTTTGCCTGAGATCTCACAGGTCACAAATAGCAACGCCAGGATTTAAACCCCTGCCTGTGCAGTTCCAAAGCTCATGCTCTTCCCCTTCTGCATGTGCCATGCTACCTCTCCTTAAATGGGAAGGGTGGAAACACCCAGTCCCATGCCTGGCACACAGTCATGCCCGAGCACTGGGAGTTCCTCTCCAGACTGAATTCCTATAGCATTTATAATCTGAGCCACACTTCAGCACAATGTTATCACACATTGTGCTCAAGTGTTTTCACATAGATAATAAAGCGTTTCCTCCAGCAAGATCCCAGGCTGCCTGATTAAGAGCTTGAGTTCTAGAGTCAGACTGCCTGGGTTCAAATCCCAGGCAGTTGACCACCTCGGACAATCCGAGCAATTGACCACCTCGGACAATTCTTTTTCCTCTCTATGCCTCCGCTCTCTGACCTTCAAAAGGGTGGTGGCTACCGTGCATTCATCTTGCAGTGTCCTCCGGGCCTGAGTGTATGGATGGACGAGAGACTACTGACAGTCAGCAGAAGGCCACAGCGGCTTGTGACACTTGGATGTTACATTTGCAGGGTGGGCAGGTGGAAGTCGGAGGGGGGACTCCCTATGAAACTCATAAATGGGGAGCTGCGGAGATGAGTGCCACCACCAGGCTTTCTATGGGCGGGCACTGCAATTCCTAGTGATTTGCAGCACATTTGATTGGCCTCTGAAGAAAACCCATTATCTTTGAGGAATTCAGTGCATTGTACAATTATTGGCTTTAATTGCTTCTACATTTCCAGATATCTTCCCCTTTCCCCAGGCAATTCAATACTTCACTCGGCCCATACCACAAAGTACTGATTTAGTAAGTGCATTTCTCCACCCTTAGAGAAAGAGATGGGGCGGGGGGGGGGGGGGGGGGGGGGGGGGAGCTTAAAAGCACCCACACAGTTTTCTTTCATTTGCCAGTATAGCAAGTGCTGTTACCTCTAGAGCAAAGGTGATTTTTCAGTATGAATTTTAGGGTCTTTAAAATCTGAGCTCCCCTGATTCTCTATTGAATATAACCTAATTATATCATGGTCTCTAAATACTTGACGTAATATATCATATTGTTTTGGTGCAATTGACAGCAACTTTTCAAATAAAGGTCAACGCACACAACAGTGCCTATAATTTATAACAAAGTATGTGGTGTGAAGCGTTTCTGTAAGGTTGGTCACCTAATTACCTTGCAATTTCTACTCAGATATAAATTCTGATTTCTTTTCACTAGTTTCTATCTCCTGTATAAATTGTGTGAGGAGTGTTTTCCAGTAGTTTTCAAAAAAAGAAAAGAAAACAAATCTTTGACCTTCAGGGAAAGTTCCTAACTATGCAGTTATACTTGAGATGAAAATATTTGTTCAATGTTTCTTTGTTACATTGAATGGACTCCCTGCTACCTGATCCATAACCGATAATAAACCATATTACTTATTTACAAAAAAAAGAAAACAGGGGCACCTGGGTGGCTCGGTCTGTTGGGCATCCGACTTCGGCTCAGGTCATGATCTCGCGTTCCGTGAGTTCGAGCCCCGCATCGGGCTCTGTGCTGACAGCTCAGAGCCCCGAGCCTGTTTCGGATTCTGTGTCTCCCTCTCTCTCTGACCTTCCCCCATTCATGCTCTGTCTCTCTCTGTCTCAAAAATGAATAAACGTTAAAAAATTTTTTTTTTAAAGAAAATAAACAACAGGTTGTTTTTTTTTTTTTTAAAGTGTGGTGGCTATAACATAGGTGGTGTTAGGGACGGTAACAATAATATGTGTGAGGGCTGGTGTGAAGGTTAAAGGATATAAAGTATGCACTCAATCAGTCATTGTTTTTATTATGCTTATTTTTCATCTTGCATGACTCCTACTAGCAATGAGGCAATTAAAATCAGTTTAATCATACTACTCGATTAGACTCTGACTCCTAGCTTCATTCTGGTTATGTGACAGAGGTTATAACATCTGAAGTTGGAAGCATGACATCCGCACTGTGCTACAACTTATATTTACGTAAGGCTGATGACTTGTTCTTTATTACGCTTTCTGTTTTCAAAGCATTTAAAAGAAAGGACGTTTGCTTTCTTGAGAAATACTTGTTCAGAAAACATAGTAATACCAGTATCGTGTATCCACGATCTGTCTGCCAGGACCTTTCTATGTATTACCTCCAATCATCATAAAACCGCAAGGTGGACATTATGATCCTCCATTTGGCTGTTAAGAACCGGGAGGCTCAAAGAGGTCAAGTTGCTTATGACCAGACAGTAACTGCTTTAGTCAGAATTTGAACCCAAGTCTCTGACTCGGGTTTTGTTCTGACCCCTATTCCAAGCTACCTGACATCTCAGTTCATCTCAATGAATGCCTATGCTTTGGTTGACGCTAGTCTGCCATTTTTCTAGATGAGGTTTTGGAAAATTACCTAAGATTGTGACGTTTCTGACTTAAGAATTTTGCCTGGTAGACATCTTACATTAAAGAGCAACCTGAGAAGTTACATATTCTTCACTGTGGCAGAAGCTTGCTAGCTAACCACCAAATATTCATGCTTGTCCTTTCACAGAGGAGCTGACAGATAGCTGCTCAGCTGCGGACAGATTTCCCAGCCTCCCTTGCATCCAGGCCTGGCCGTATGATTAGTTCTCTCTAATGGAATTTGAGCAAAGTGATGTTCATTTCTTCCAGACCAGGGTGTTTAAAAAAAAAAAAAAAAAAAAAAA